GTGTGTGTGTGCGTGTGTGCGTGTGTGTGTATGTGTGCGTGTGTGCGTGTGTGTGTGTGTGTGTGTGTGTGTGTGTGTGTGTGTGTGTGTGTGTGTGTGTGTGTGTGTGTGTGTGTGTGTGTGTGTGTGTGTGCGTGAGTGTGTGTGTGTCTTGCTGCATGTCAAGCCCTGCCTGCTTCAAACAACCATCTCATTTGCAGCCGCTGCTGCGCGTGTACAATCGATTTTATGTGAGCAGTCGTGGCGATGATACGGTGGTGCTTGGCATTGGGACGGTGACAACTGACACAGCAGCGCACGACGTGAACCCTGGCGACCGGTGGGTGGTTTTGTGTGTGTGTGTGTGTGTGTGTGTGTGTGTGTGTGTGTGTGTGTGTGTGTGTGTGTGTGTGTGTCTGTGTGTGTCTGTGTGTGTCTGTGTGTGTGTGTGTGTGTGTGTCTGTGTCTGTGTGTGTCTGTGTTCACTACTTTCAGTTCTTGCGCTCACCACCCATCGTGTCACAACCGACCATCCCACCACCGCCCCACACAGTCTGCTGCAAGGGCAGGATGCCACGTGCACGTCTGATGTTGCTGTCATCGTGTCGCTCCCGCCGCTGAAATACAGCGCTCTCGCAGCAGACGCGGTGAGCCTTGACGTTTCGTGAATGGATGGATGGTTTGTTGGTTGGTTGGTTGGTTCGTTGGATGGATGGCTCTCGTCGTGTTGAGTGTGTCGCTTGCTGTGAAAGCAATTAGGGGGGGAGGGTTGTTGTTGTGCAAAGCTGAGGACTGTTTGGCTGCTAGTCATGCGTCTGTTATCAAGGCAGATGACACACACTCTCTCGCACACTCTCTCACTGACTCACTGACTCACTCACTGACTCACTGACTCACTCACTCACTCACTCACACACACGCACTCACTCACTTGCTCAACTCGCGCATGCGGCCACGGCGTCATGATGATGGCAGTCGTTTGCAACGCCGACCAAAGCCCCTCCCGCCCGCCGCGCAGGACACATTGCACCCAGACCACCACCGGCACCGTCATCATCAATATCATCGCATGCAACAGCAGCGGCTGCTGCCAGTGGTGGCGATGATGATGGCAGTGATATGGAACCTGTCGTGCTGGAGGTGAGCAGAAGGGGGAGGGGAGGGGTGTGTGATTGCGAGACAGAGGTAGTGGTTGGTGTCGCTTGAAAACACGCACACACATGCACACACACACACACACACACACACATATGCACACACATGCACATGCACACGCACACATGCACATATGCACACGCATACACAATACACTCACGTGCGCAACACAACACGCATGTACACAAACCAATACCCCCTTTTTCTCACAACCAATCACCCTCTCCTCTGCCTTTGCCAATGTCAGGTTGACTTCAACACGGTGCACATGAGCGGTGATGGTGGCGGTGGTGGTGATGGCACAGCGTCCCCTCGTCCAGGGTCGTTCACACCGTCACTGTCATCATCGTCCTCGTCATCTGTCTTCCTCTCCCGCTCACGCACGAACAGCACCATCAATGGCAGCAGTGCAAAGGGCAATGGCACCAGCAGCAAGCAGCGCACATCCCACCATCGCACCACAACAGCACCAACATCACCATCCACACCCCTCTCGCCAACCCACTCCCAGTCGCTGCTTCATCGCTTTGACTTTACCGTTCTCCCGCCAATACCGCCGCCACCGCACATCACAGCTCGCGATCTTGCATCAGGCGCCGTCGGTGGGTGGTGGAGTGGAGAGCATAACCGGAAAGGCGTTGGTTGATTGCTCGTGGCATACTCTATTCTTTTGTGCATGTGGGAGGGTGTGTGAGTCTGAGAGTGCATGTGTGTGTGACCACGTCTGTGTGTGTGTGACCACGTCTGTGTGTGTGTGTGTGTGTGTGTGTGTGTGTGTGTCTATGTCTGTGCTACGCAGTTACGTACGTGTGCTCCTGTCAACGTTACGTCACTCGTTCCCCCCTCCTCCAACTCACCGCCTCTATTGTTGGCCCTCCGTCTTGCTCCACGCTTCAGTTTATCAGGAGGATGTTGCGGATTACGTCTCCAGCCCATACAAGGTGATCCTATGTTACCAATTCAATTGCCTGCAGGCATAACTTGAACATGCGTTGCATTCAAACGCTCAAACCGGTTCGCAAGGCTCCAGCTTTCAACATCCCACTTTTACATCACCAGCATACGCACCTGTGTGCATGGGACTTGCACACACACATGCACACATACGAATGCATCCACACTTACACACACATACACACAAACAAACAAACAAACAAACAAACAAACAAACAAACAAACAAACAAACAAACAAACAAACAAACAACTAAACACACCATCCCCTTGTCCATGCGACCGCCAGACCGCGGACATGAAGTTGGCATACACGCCAGTCATGTTTTCCTCCCCCGCCATCAAGCTGGACACAACAGCAAAGTACCAGGTCAGTGGTTGTCTGCCTGTGTGTCTGTGTGTGTGTGTGTGTGCGTGTGTGTGTGTGTGTGTCTGTGTCTGTGTCTGTGTGTCTCTGTGTGTGTGTCTGTGTGTGTCTGTGTGTGTCTGTGTGTGTGTGTGTGTGTTACCCTCCTCATGCCGCAGTCCTCTGTGCTCACTTCACACACCCAATGCCACCACCACCACCACCATCCCCGCCACCATATGCGCCGAAGGCTCTTCGAGTCGGGTCTTCGTCGTCGCCATCAACAGCAACAGCAACGGTAGCAACAGCGGCGCTCAACGGGTCATACGTTGCCGAGACACCAACCGCGTCCACGAGCACGCCTCCTCCAACCACCATTTCCACGTCGCAGACGCACCAGACGCCACAAGCACCTGCTGTTGGGAAGAGTGGTGAAAAGAGGGCTGGGAGTGCTGTTGCAAGTGCTGGCGCGGGCCAGGCACGCGGCGCAAGTCGACCCGTCCGCCTTGCGCCATCACAGGCAGCAGCAGTAGCAACAGGGACAACAACAACGTCAACACCTGGTATGGCGTCACAGCCACAACAGCCGGCAGTCTCAAGTGCGAGCAAGCGCCCTGTGCGTCGCGCACCGGCACAGACGTCGCTTGCAACCGCCATCACAGCCACACCCACCACACCATCATCAACAACACCAGCAGCAACAACACCAGCAGCAATAGTGCAGCAGGGCGGCGTGGTGGAGAGAAAGGCGCCTGCTCCTGCCGCTGCTGCGATGATGGAGACGCATGTGGATGCAATCCCTCCCTCCTCCCAACACCAACAACAACAACAACAACAACACCACCACCACCACCACCAACAACAACAACAACAACAACAACAACAACAACAACAACAACAACAACAACAACGGAGTTCGTTGCTTTGTCGTCGTCGCTCGAGCGGCAGCACCATTGCGTCATCGCCAGCAGCAACGTCGCCGCTCGCAACGCCAATGTCTTCCAAACCAACAACGCCGCAGCAGCAACGACGCCGACCCAGCAACGCGCCGTTCACACCCACAACACCGCAAGGACAACAGCAACAGCAACAGCAGCAGCAAGGGGAGGGACAACACCACCCTACTGCAGCAACAGCAACCGCAGCAGCAGCAGCGGCAGGACAGCGCCGCAAGAAGAAGGCGAGACTGTCCAGCAGCACTGACTTTCGACGGCGCCTTGCAAGTGACACCAGCAGCGGACACAACAGCCGGCGCTCGTCACGGTTGCTTGCAAGCATTCATCCCGACGACAGTGGCGGTGGTGACGGCGCCGGTACTGGTGTTGGCAAGGATGACGGGTCTGCACGTCGTCTGTCTGCTGCACTTCAGCGACGTCCATCATCGCCAATGTCACGCGCGTTGCTTGCAAGCAGGCACGAGGCAAAGCAACTCGCACGCAGCCATGGTGCTGATGGCAGGGGTGGTACAAGTAGCAGAGGGAGCAGTGCCTACGATCGAGATGAAGGTGATGACGGTGTTGCGCTGAGTGCCGGTGCGAGGGGTGTGCACTCACCACAACAGCACAATGGCGACATTGGCGACAACTCGGCAGACAGCGACGGAGCCGAGAGCGATGTGGTGTATGGGTTTGGCTTCGGTGATGGCGTCGACAACGATGATGACGTGAACATGGGTGCCGATGACAGCAGCAGGCGCGGAAGTGTGAGTCTGGCAGCAGCAGCAACAGCAGCAGACAAGAACACGAAGCCCCATCAAGGCGGTCGAAGTGGTGCATCTACACCCGTCTACACCAACAACAGCAACATGACAGCCAGTGGTGGCGGTGGAAAACAGAAGCCGTGGGTGCGGCTGCCGCCCGACGTTGGCGTTGATGTTGACCTTGGTAGCCGACCAGGCACACCAGAGCCGTCGCGTCGTCATGGCAGCGGCGTTGGCGGTATCAACAAGGCCCCGTATGAGTATGGCTTTGCCGGCTTTGATGACATCCATTTGCCCGTCATTCGTCGCAGTCCAGAAGCGCACGGTAATTTGGGAGAGGTGGGGGGGGGGGGGAGGGCTAATGAACAAGACCATGTGTGTGTGTGTGTGTGTGTGTGTGTGTGTGTGTGTGTGTGTGTGTGTGTGTGTGTGTGTGTGTGTGTGTGTGTGTGTGTGTGTGTGTGTGTGTGCATGTCTGAAGGGCTTGTTTTGAAAGCTGTTGCTGACGCGGATGACTGACACCTCTTTTCTCCCCACCAATCATACACACACACACGCACGCACATGCACACACCGCCAACAACAACAACGTGCAGACACGGGGTCGCTTGTTGAACTGCCCGAGGACCGCGTTCGAAATGCTCTTGAGAAGCAACCGAGCGAGCGAACAGACGATGACGTCACCGCGCTGATGCAAGAAATGGCGCGCCTATCCGCGTTTGCGTTTTTGCCGCATTCTGCCCAGCGCGCGTTTTGCCAGCACCTCGGCTTCCGCGAGTACTGCGAGGACGGCGCTGTGGTGGTGATGGGCGACGACGCGAGCGGGGCGTGGTGGGTGGTTCTGAGTGGCGCTGTGATGGTGTGTCAGGGCGAGGAGGCAGCGAGACACGGCCTAGGACGCATTGTTCGGGAGGGCCAGGCGTTTGGCGTGGACACGGGCACACCAGGTATGTACGCCCGCGTGGGGGCGGGGGAGAGGGCGAGGGAGAGGGAGAGGGCTGGTGTTGCTTAATGTGTTGTTGTTGTTTAAGTTGTTGCTGTTGTTGCTGCTGCTGCTGCTGCTGCTGCTATGGCTGTTATGTGTTTGCCACAACACAACATCACGCACATACACAATCAGATACGCACACGCGCTCGCACAAACAAACAAACACACTCACACATACCACCTGCCTCCACCATCATCATGCCACCATGACAGAGCGTGGGGAGCTGGTGGTGACGGGCACAGTCAACTGCCAGCTGATCACGGTGACGGCGGACGTGTACAGTGCAGCCATGGCCAAGGGCTCGCTCTCCACACGCGAGATCACCTCCAATGGACAGGTGGTGCTCGTCACGGAGCAACGCACGCGCACGCTGCGAGGGAAGGACAGCGGGAAGGGTGGTGCGATGGGTCACGGGGGTTCACGCGCCAGGAAGGACAGCAGCGTGGATGGCGGTGGCGACACGAGTGGGGACCACGATGACGAGGCGAAGAACGTGCACGCGCGACGTGTGAAGTACAGTGTGATCATCAAAGGAGCACCAAAGCACTTGGTGGCGGTGCTGTTTGAACGGAATGACCGCCACGGCAGACACCAGGAGCGCGAATATCGAGACATCTTCCTTCTCACCTACCGCACTTTCGTCGAGGCCACCAGGTGTTAACGTGTATGTGTGTGTGTTGGTGTGTGTGTGTGTGTGCGTATGTATGTGTGTGTCTGTGTATGTGTTGTGTGTCTGTGTGTGTGTTGTGCGTGTGCGTGTGTGTTTGAGGGTTTTGTGTCTGTGTTGCGTGTGCTTGTTGTCTTCGTGCGTTGCGTGGGTGCCCATGTCTGACCACCTGTTGAATGCACCATCTGCCCACGTCAGGCTGCTGAATGCCGTGTCCATGTCCTTGGAGGATCCACGTGCCAGGAGTTACGCCATCGCCGTCATCACGGTTCGTCAATGGGCGCAACAGGGGGTGTGGCGTGATGTGATGGGTACGCTGTGATTGCACGTGTGACTGTTGCATGTGCACCATCTCAACTCATCCTTCCACTATTGTTCCATGTTCAACACACGCACATGCCACGCACACGCCACATAATCCGGCCGCCACCATCACAATCACCACGACCTCGCCGTTGCTTGCAGGCATGGGTTGAGCACTATTTCATTGACTTCCAAACGAGTGCACCGCTGTACCAGTTTCTGCTGGATGTGGAGGTCAAGGTGTGTTGGAATGAGTCTCAGAGACATGAAACTTGTCAACACAAGGGACTGTCATGGCGGTGGCGGTGATGGTCGTGAACACAGCTGAGTTGATGTTCGACTGGCATTCACGCAACCATACCCACGCGTTCGTGTCCCCTTCGTGCAGATGCACACGTTGTTCCATCAGGACCGCCACGCACGCGATCTCGTTGATGGCATCGCTACAATTCGGCGTGTTGTTGAAACACACGAGAAGCACAAGCACGTCATCTTCCAGCTCCCATCGTACGTGTATGCGCGTGTCTGTGCACGTGTATGTGTGTGTGTGTGTGTGTGTGTGTGTGTGTGTGTGTGTGTGTGTGTGTGGTGGTGGTGGTGGT